AATTCGTATGAGGTGAGTCGCGAAAAACTGGATTATGATTTGTCGAATTTCGATAAGGTCTTCTATTAATTTGATTGCTCGAGTTTTGGTTTAAGTTTTGAGAATTAGAGTTTTGATTCCTGTTATTATGTTGATAGTTTGAGTTTTGGAAGTTAGAGTTTGGATTTCTATTATTACATTGATAGTTTGAGTTTTGGGAATTAGAGTTTTGATTTCTATTATTACATTGATAGTTTGAGTTTTGGGAATTAGAGTTTTGATGAGATTGGTTAGTATGCTGTCGATTAACATGGAAATTCATCGAATTATTAGATCTTCCTGCATTATTATTATATTGTCTTTTTCTACATTCTTCAATAACATGCCCTTGTTTTTTGCAGTAACGACAAAATATCTGATTATTCGTAAACAAAGTTCTTACGTTTGCATCATGATTTCTTGTTTTGAAACAATTATTTGTAGAATGCGAGTTGTTTTTGCAATTTTTGCAAAACTGAGTTGAACTGCGCGACATAGCCACAGCGCGTTCTTCAGAAATAGCTGCACTATACGCAGAATTAATCGAATCAAAATCTTTCCATCTCAACATTCGCGAAATTTCGGGTTTCGAATGATAAATAAATCTATTTAAAGCAATTTCGTTCAACATTTTCAGTTTTCCAGGAATCTCTTCCGGTTCTGTGCAATTTTGTTGAGTAGTAGATATCAATCGCGAGTTAATTGTTTCCAAACGTTGAAAAAAGTCTTTCACTGATTCGTTAGGACTTTGTTTGCAATTATTTAGCTCTTCCATTAATTGAACGTAATGTTTTTTGTCTTGATATAAAGTTTTTAAAGCGTCTTTTAAGGTATCCCAATTATCAAAGTTTTGGGTAGCTAACTGTTCTTTAGCTTTGCCACCGATTCGAGATAAAATAAAATATAAAAGAGGATTTTTCTGATCGTCCTGTGCTAATACATTGGCATTATTACAATTCGCTAAAAATTGCCCTAATTCAAGACGATTGCCATCAAAACTATTAGCTTTTTATACAATGCTATTAGGTATTAGTTTGCATAAAAAATCTACGGAAAACCTACCATTATTTGGGTTGGAATTTGACGAAGGAAGTTGATTAAAAATGTTTTGAAAAGTTTCTAATAATATTGTTTGTAGGTCTGGGTTTACGGCAGGAGGAGTCATAGTGGCATATAAGTATTAATAAAGGAGTTAGACAACCAAAAGTAACCTCATTAAGAGACAAAAATCACTTACCAAAAAACTTGAAAGCTAGTGGTTACACAACAACTGTGATTCAATCCAATACTGGTCAACGCTGATGATAGCTTTGGCTGACTATGGTATGTCTTGAATCTTTGTATCCAAATCCTGCTGGATCTTGCTAGATACTTCTGAATCGTACCGACCGCGCCAAAATCTGTTGTGATCCTTCAGTGTTTTGCCTTGGTTAAAACTACTTTTGTTTTTGGTTTGAAACTTGTAGCTTTATTAGGTAATGGAATATAGAATGAAATTGAACTACAGCAAAAGTAAGACTTATTTTAGAGAGAGTTTTAACAAAATGTGTTACTACGACTGAAGCTGTCTTAAGACTGTCTTCTTGCTTCACTAGATCTCTTACAAATCGACCTTTACATCCCTTCTAAAACGTTTCTAAAACCTACATAATTACAACTGGAAAACCCTAAATAAATATTGGCAATAAATGACAGTCTGTTCGCCCAAAGAATGACCATTAAGGATATTTGGGAATTTTGGGGTTTATGGTGGACAAATGTTTAATTTATTTACATACAATATCTTTGGGTTCTTTAACAGAAAGTCTGGGTCATATAATAGTATTGCTTTCGGCGACGGCGAGACATTATTTGGGAAAGTATTCGAGGGTCGTAAAAGGTACAATGTCATGATATTATGGAGGAATATGACAGAGAAGAAAGATATCGCAAGAGGAAAAAACTAAAAACTTCCTTGAATTAGAAAAAATAATAATAATCAAGCTATAATATAGGCGAAATATAGGGTGCACGAGGTCAGACATGAACTTTTAATTCTTTATAGAGAAATCCTAGTCATCGTATTTCTCGAGAGGATTAATCCTTTGGCGGATTATATGAGGCGTTTTTCCTACGAAATTGTAGAAATCTTCATCTTCATCAATCAATCCATATATATCTATTTTGAAAAAAAAAAAAAATATTAGGTACCACAAAATTGACAAATCACGATCACGAATCATCAGGTTATCTCAAAGGGTAAATCCATAAATCCATAAATCGCTAAACCCGCAATATCATCAACAGTGAGCCAATTTAACCCAAAGTTACACCAAAAGTTATAGTTAACTCGCTGTGGAGAAACGTTTACCCTGGAGTTATCATCAACCCGGAAATGACTCGCTATTGATAAACCAGCCCTAATATAAGTAACGTATTTGATGGATACTTCACATTGTTCTCATGTCGAGCGTAGCTAAAGTACCTAACAACGCGATAACTTTGCATATGCAGTATGTGCCCAATACTGGATTCCCTCCATCCAGCCCAGGGGAGAACAAAAATGATACAAACAGAAAATCTCTGCTTACTTATCTTGTGTGAACCCCGAAAATATTTAGATATATTCGGAAAGTTTTAGTTCATGAATACTCAACAGTGAGAATAGAAAAATTAATATAATTTTCATGTAAATCGACTTGAGGCCCACCCCACCACCCCTAAGTTGGAGGTTTTCTCTTTGAATCCTTTCATGTAGGGCATTTTCAATATTTTGCACTAGTCACAACATTCTGTGTTAAACACAAATTTCAAATGTCCATCCACATGTCTTTGTAATCTTACGAGTATTATTTGCTTCCTCAGATGTAAATTATTGACGATGTCTGGCCAAAAAAGGCGATATTTCACACGAATTCTGAGATTTGTCAATTTTTCAGATTTCATGACATCCCTCTGTGATGCAAGCTTTATTTTGAGACCAGATTTTCTAAAATCAGACAAAAATTGGAAAAGTTACGGGCAAATTAATTCCAGCACGACCTTTTTCGTAACACTATTACTAAGAATAGTGCAGTATTTCTAAAAGAATTCGTAAGGTTAGCCACGCTGTATAATATATTAGGCTTATCTAGACTATTTATTTGCGAAATAGAAAAAAAAAATCCGATATGTAGCTTGCAACGCGTGCCAACATCAATAAATGAAAGGCTTGGCAATGATTTTCGGACCCACTTTACTGGGTCACCCTGTATAGTTAGAGATTTTGCGCAATGATGAAAAATACTTATTTTCACTAGTACTACAACATACCAAATTTTTAAAAAAATCCACCGGTCCCCGAAAACCCATAAGATGTGTGCGATGTCCTTTGCCAGTTCTTGAGTCGGCAAGGCCTGCGAGTGACGTCACAATTATCAATACCTTATAGCGGTGACGTCACCCGCAGGCCTCGATGGGATGCTTGCAATTCAGGCTGTGCTTTTGAGTTAATTTTTTTGTCGATTTTAAATGTAGAAGAGCTGATTTTAAAAATGGATTTTTTTTATAAAAAGCAATCTAAAAAGACTTTCATAACTGTGGTGCGTGGTGCCATTATTTCTGACAAAAGTTCTTGAAGAATGTTGAAATAATCGATAATAATAATGATTTTTATACAAAAATTCTAAGCTTTCAGAATAGGATATTTTCATTTTCGGAAAAAAATAAGTTCTCCGCAACCGCAAATGATAGATGTTGACGTTTAAAGGTCATTAAACTATTTCCTAGAATCATATTTTTAGTACATCAAAAAGATAATAAGGTTTTTGTGTATCTATCTATCCTTTGCTAACTAATGTAATTTACATTCATATGACGTACAGATATCTTTAATATTTCCTTATAACTTGTAACTAATTACTATCGAAAACTATCGATATTAATCGATAGTCAAGTTTCCGACTATCGATAAATATCGATAGTCGAGACTATCGATAGTTCTCCACCTCTACTGCCTGCAACCTACGAGTTGCGCGCACAGTCCAGGTAATAGGAAATTGGTCTATTTGAGTTGAATCCCTCAAAAATTGCAGGAGCTATTAAGAAAAAACTAGAAAAATATTGAAATTTCAATGTTTATTTGAAATTTAAGTCATAAAAAAAAACAAAGAATCACCCCTTGGGGAAACTCTATATAATAGATACGCAGTTAATCAATTTAGATATTTTCGGGCAACTCAAATGAACTCTATTCTAACTAAAGTCTGTTTTTTTTTTTAAAGATAATTCCCCAAGTCAAAAATTTAATAACTACCTATGTTGGCAACACAAGCCTTTTCTACATAAAAAATTTGAAAGCTTGACAATTTTACATTGTATTGCCAACATAATGTCATTTTGACTTTTATCTTTAAAAAAAAAACACACTTTAAGTTAAAATTTTTATAACAAAACAATAATTCCGAACGTGCTCTAAAAATTAATCAACGACAAACCCTTTTTTCCAAGTTATGACGTCATCGATGACGTAAGTACTTACAAAAAGTGCAAAAAATGAATAATTAATTGAAACGTCTCTGCATGCCACGAAAATCCAACACACTAAAATTATATAATAGACGATAAAACTTGTAAAAAATTATGAATAATTTGGTTGCACTAATTTTGTTTTGTTAGTGCTATGGTGGAATGCCGAATGAGGGTGCTAATTTCTGTTTTGGAAGTGCTTAGCACCCCCAAGCACCCCCCTAGTTGCGCCTATGCAGCTGGTGAAACGAACTTCAAGTCAAATACGACGTTAAAATGCCCACCGGAGAATTAAAGGCCAAAGGAATCACCCTGTAGAATTATTAATTATTTTAATTGAAATAAGCGTGTTTTTCACGCCTTTGATTTGTTATTAACGATTGAAATTTTGTCTCACAACTTAATCAATTTGACGTAATTAGAATTGAATCTATATTAAAATGCAAATTTTATTGCACAATCATTGAACAATGAATAATTATAAATAAATAACGCAAATGAGCCTTTGTTTGCTTGAAATTATTATTACATTCTCATTTTTCTTATCCCTACTCAGTCGGCCGAAGGATTTTTCTTATATAAATTTGCATTTTCCATCATTTAAAAACATTTAAGTGCACATAATGAAGGTAAGCAAAATTGTTTTAATTTATTTATTTTGTTAATTAACTATTTAATTGTTTAAAAGGTTTATATTGTTGTTATTCTGGCCTTTTTGGGCCTAGCATTGGCCGACGAGCCGAAATACACGACCAAATATGACAACGTCGATCTGGACGAGATAATCAAAAGCGATCGCCTAATGAAAAACTACGTAAATTGCCTTTTGGAAAAAGGCAAGTGCACACCGGACGGGGCTGAATTAAAACGTAAGTATTTCTGAGCTCTGAGCATCAAAAAATCCATTTTATTCTGAACAATTTTTTGTAGGAGTTCTACCCGACGCCATTCACACCGACTGCTCAAAGTGCAGCGAAACTCAGAAAAAGGGCAGCAAGAAAATCATGAGGCATTTGATCGACAACAAACCCGAATGGTGGAAGGATCTGGAAGCGAAATACGATAAGGAGGGTGTTTATCAAAAGCAATACAAGGCGGAACTTGCTTCAGAAAAATCTAAAAAGGCTTAATAATGTATCCTACACTATTGCTATCTCACTTTAATTGGGTTCATTTTTGTTAATTAAACAATTAAAAATGTCTGTTAATTAGATCCTTTTTAGTTTGATTTAAAAGTTTTTGATTTTGCATCTTTATGCATCCTACGCTATACTGTCTCACTCTTATTTGGTTTATCCGCTAGTTGTTATGCCTGAGACTAGGGTGGCCATGACCATATTTTCACAAAAACCCTTTTTTCGATGAATCGCAATTATTAGTTTTACCACCTCCAAAGTAATTTACAAGTCAAATGAGGTTCACTTAACGATGTATTTTGGTACTGCCTCTCATTTCTAATACTGTTTGTGGTGTGACATTTGAATGAAAAATTCAAACTTAAATATTGGAAAAATTAAGTAGAGGGGATGAAAATAAGCAGAAAATAACTCGTGACATTTTTTCATTGGAGGCTTCCTAAGCCCCGAAAAAATTCAAAAAGAAAATTCCAAAATTGTATTTGAAATTTTCCAGGAGAAAGAGGAAAATAAAGAGATCATCATAGGAAAATTTCAAAATTTTTCAGTGGAAAATCATTTCAAAAAAAATTCTGGAAAATTGACTTTTTAAGCAAAATTAAAGAAAATTCATCCTCTTACATTTTAATTTTCTTCTGGAAACCTGATTAAAGGAAAAATTTGAAAATTTTCCAGGAAAAAGAGGAAATTAAAGAGATCATTATAGGAAAATTTCAAATTTTTTCAGTGAAAAATCACTCCAGAAAAAATTCTGGAAAATTGACTTTTTTAAGCAAAATCAAGAAAAATTCATCCTCTTACATTTAAATTTTTTTCTGGAAAACTGGCAAAGAGAAAAATTTTAAAATTTTCCAGGAGAAAGTGGAAAGTGAGGAGATCATTATAGGAAAATTTCAAAATTTTTCAGTGGAAAATCACTCCAGGAAAAATTCTGGAAAATTGTCTGGAGTCTCTATTTCAGTAGAAACTATTTTTTCTGAGTCGTGAAAAAAAAATTCTGAGTCGAAAATTCTAATTTATTTGGATTTTACCTCAATTACAAATTCAAGAAAAGGCAAAGAAAATGAGTCGATATTCGAGTAGAAAATATTTTTTCTGAGTCGTGAAAAAAAATTTGAGTCGAAAATTCTAAGTTTTTTGCGTTATTTTTGGATTTTGCATCAATTACAATTTTAAGAAAAGTCAAAGAAAATTTTTCTGAGTCGATATTCGAGTAGAAATTATTTTTTCTGAGTCGTGAAAAAAAATTCTGAGTCGAAATTCTATTTTTTTTGCGTTATTTTTGGATTTTGCCTCAATTACAAATTCAAGAAAAATGAAAGAAAATTTTTCTGAGTCGATATTCGAATAGAAAATATTTTTTCTGAGTCGTGGAAAAAATTCTGAGTCGAAAATTCTAATTTTTTGCGTTATTTTTAGATTTTGCCTCAATTAAAAATTCAAGAAAAGTCAAAGAAAATTTTTCTGAGTTGATATTCGGGTAGAAAATATTTTTTCTTAGTCGTGAAAAAAAATTCTGAGTCGGAAATTCTAATTTTTTTGCGTTATTTTTGGATTTTGCCTCAATTACAAATTCAAGAAAAGTCAAAGAAATTTTTTCTGAATCGATATTTAAGTAGAAAATATTTTTTCTGAGTCGTGAAAAAAAAAGTCTGAGTCGAAAATTCTAATTTATTTGGATTTTACCTCAATTACAAATGCAAGAAAAGCCAAAGAAAATTTTTTTGAGTTGATATTCAGGTAGAAAATATTTTTTCTGAGTCGTGAAAAAAAATTCTGAGTCAAAAATTCAATTTTTTTTTGGATTTTGCCTCAGTTACAAATTCAAAAAAAGTCGAAGAAAATTTTTCTGAGTCGATATTCGAGTAGATTTTTTTCTGAGTCGTAAAAAAAATTCTGAGTCGGAAATTCTAATATTTTTGCATTATTTTTGGATTTTGCCTCAATTACAAATTCAAGAAAAGTCGAAGAAAATTTTTCTGAGTCAATATTCGAGTAGAAAATATTTTTTCTCAGAGGTAAAAAAAATTCTGAGTCGAAAATTCTAATTTTTTTGCGTTATTTTTGGATTTTCCTCAATTAGAAATTCAAGAAAAGTCAAAGAAAATTTTTCTGTCAATATTCAAGTAGAAAATATTTTTTCTGAGTCGTGAAAAAAAAATTCTGAGTCGAAAATTCTATATTTTTTTGGATTTTGCCTCAATTAAAAATTCAAGAAAAGTCAAAGAAAATTTTTCTGAGTCGATATTCGAGTAGAAAATATTTTTTCTGAGTCGTGGAAAAAATTCTGAGTCGAAAATTCTATTTTTTTGAGTTATTTTTAGATTTTGCCTCAATTAAAAATTCAAGAAAAGTCAAAGAAATTTTTCTGAGTCGATATTCGAGCAGATAATATTTTTTCTGAGTCGGGAAAAAAAATTCTGAGTCGAAGATTCTATTTTTTTTTTGATTTTGCCTCAGTTACAAATTCAAGAAAAGCCAAAGAAAATTTTTCTGAGTCGATATTCGAGCAGATAATATTTTTTCTGAGTCGGAAGAAAAAATTCTGAGTCGAAATTTTTTATTTTTTTTTTTGGATTTTGCCTCAGTTACAAATTCAAGAAAAGTCAAAGAAAATTTTTCTGAGTCGATATTCGAGTAGAATTTTTTTTTCTGAGTCGTGAGTCGGAAATTCTAATATTTTTGCGTTATTTTTGGATTTTGCCTCAATTACAAATTCAAGAAAAGTCGAAGAAAATTTTTCTGAGTCAATATTTGAATCGAAAATATTTTTTCTGAGTCGTGAAAAAAAATTCTGAGACGAAAATTCTAATTTTTTTGCGTTATATTTGGATTTTGCTTCAATTACAAATTCAAGAAAAGTCAAAGACGTTCTAATTTTTTTGCGTTATTTTTGGATTTTGCCTCAATTACAAATTCAAGAAAAGTCAAAGAAAATTTTTCTGAGTCAATATTCGAGTCGAAAATATTTTTTCTGAGTCGAGTCGAGTATCAGAAAAGTAGTTTCTACGCAGTACCGGTACCACAAGGTAAAAATTGACAGTTGTACTAGGTTTAGTACAATTTTTTTTTCAGGTAGTTTAGTCCTGATCGACGGCCAAGTGGTGCATTTTAGCGAACCGCACAAATCCGACCAATCACGACACGCCTACACTTTCCACATTGTCGAACGGAAAAACACGAAATATTCCGAAGAAAATTAGCTCCAGCCAACCGAAAATCATTTTTAAGCTTTTACAAAGATTATTGAGAATTGTACTAAGTTTAGTACAATTATTATGATTTTTTAGTAAAAACATCATTTGAGTTATAAAACAGTTTTCTACTTTATTAATACATTGTACTAGACTTAGTACATTTACTAAAAATGTACTGAATTTAGTACAATTGACTCAGTTTACATCAACGGCTAATTATTTTATTCTACAAAATTTTTTTTTATACATTTTTTTTTTTTTTTCAAAATGTCAAACTGCAAAATTTGTCTTCGACCAATCGGAATGTTTCCTAGTCCAGGCGTCTCCAAATAAAATTCAAATGTCAGTCTTGGAGGGTCGTTTTGGGCCTGCAAGAAAACAACGTGTGAAAAAATAAAACTTTTTTTTTATCATTTTTTTTATTTATTTATTTTTTTTAAATAATCATATTAGTTTTTAATTGATATAAAAGTTGATACACACTTCGGCGCCTTTTCAGAAATGTACTAGATTTAGTACAATTATCGAAAATGTCAAAAATAATGATAAAATTAATTGAACTACATTTAATACAATTATTGACAAATTTTTCCTAATATCCTCAGAGTGCTTACGATTCTTCGGATCGAAGATAAATTGTACTAAAAATTGAATGTACTGAATTTTTGGAAAAAAAATTGATCTAGTACAATTTTTGCAAAAATATTTTCATTATCCTGGGAGTTTGTGTGTTCGTTTTTTGGAAATATAGAAAAATAGTACTAAAAATGAAGTGTACTAGATTTAGTACAATTTTCAAAAATGTCAAAAACAAAGATTAATTGTACTAAAAATTAAATGTACTAAATCTAGTAAAATTCGTAAATTGATGGATTTTGGACCAAATTGAATTTTTCAAATCTGAAGAAGACATATTTGGACGAGATAATCAAAAGCGATCGCCTAATGAAAAACTACGTAAATTGCCTTTTGGAAAAAGGCAAGTGCACACTGGACGGTGCCGAATTAAAGCGTAAGTATTTCTGAGCTCTGAGCATCAAAAATCCACATTTAATTCTGAACCAATTTTTGTAGGAGTTTTACCCGACGCCATTCATACCGACTGCTCAAAGTGCAGCGAGACTCAGAAAAAGGGCAGCAAGAAAATCATGAGGCATTTGATCGACAACAAACCCGAATGGTGGAAGGATCTGGAAGCGAAATACGATAAGGAGGGTGTTTATCAAAAGCAATACAAGGCGGAACTTGCTTCAGAAAAATCTAAAAAGGCTTAATAATGTATCTTACACTATTGCTATCTCACTTTAATTGGGTTCATTTTTGTTAATTAAACAATTAAAAATGTCTATTAATTAGTTTGATTTAAAAGTTCTAGAAAAGCTTGATTTTGCATCCTACACTATTACTGTCTCACTCTTATTGGGTTTATCCACTAGTTGTTATGCCTGGAGACTAGGGTGGAAATGACCATATTTTCACAAAAACCCTTTTTTCGATGAATCGCAATTATTAGTTTTACCACCTCCAAAGTAATTT